GAAGGTCACAACGTGACGGGAACAGTGTAAGTGAGTAATTGAACTGCAGTCAGAGAGTATTGTTGAAGTTGAGCACGTTTGTTGTTATAGCGCGACTGTTGAAAATAAGTGTATCGGTAAAGTTATATTCAGAAAGAATAAACCAGTTTTATTTAAGAAAGGACTTGTGTCGCTAAAGTTTCGTCGGAACGAATTTACGGGAAATCAATTAACAAACGGAGACGTAACAATATATATAGTCATTGATAATTTCATGAAGAATTATTTCTGGTGAGAACTCTCTCAATTCAAAGAACAGTGCTGTCTTGTCTAGTGCATTCGTCTATATTTGAAAAGTTTTTTGGTGTACACAACTTGAATATATCTTTCATATGCGGAAAAATGTGTTAGCTGAGTTCTTGCACAGATCTTAAAATATAACGTTGATGAACGGAAACATAGGCACATGCAGATATCTAGATCTTGAAATTCGAGTTGTTCAAAACTTGAAAATAGCGTTGATAACTGGACCAATTATTGGTTGAGATGTTACAAAGAAAATATCTGCTGAAGCTTTTCGCCAGACACTAATCATGGTAGAAATGTCTGGAAAATGGTCTGTAGGAAATAGTACAGCTTATAAAATGAGTCAGATCAACGTACGCCGGTAAGGCAGTCACTGATTGGCATGTCCTTAAGCCAATCAGGAAATGTCACAGACCTACTGAAGGATGTGTAGATTGTATACGAATTCTTTTTGGCGTCATGGGACAGGTTTATTTGTTTTAATAAAGGTAGCTTGCAAGATAAAGAGATGAAAGGTTGACAGACCATTTGCAATAATTTTAAACCTGCTATCCGTGTAGTTGTCAACACAAGTCGGGTTCATTAGTAAATGCTGGCCAATCGCTGATTCACATTTTGGTGGTAGAACTTTTGTTTTACAGGAGGGACATTATAAATTCTTTTCTTTCACACTCTTAGTTCTTATGGATGTGGGTACATGTTGTTTAATTCTATCCTGCAATCTTTGTGAAGTGCGATCTACGTACCGACATTCGCAGTGGCACAAAGAATTCATAAATAACCATACTGTTACGTCTCCGTTTGTTAATTGATTTTTCCGTAACTTCGTTCCAACGAAACTTTAACGACA